AAGGGGGGGGGGGCAGAAGGCAGGAGTCGGGCCCGCCTGAGAGGTGGAACAGGCAGAATTAGAGTATGTGCAGGGGCTTTGAGTGAGGCCTGGTGCCTGACAAGAGCCACTGTGTGGTGTCGCATATAGACCCTCCGTCACTGGCGGTGTGGCCTTGGGCAGGTCTCTTGGCTCCTCTGAGCCTCAGATTCTAAAACCAAAGAGCAGTTGTGTTTCATCCCTCACACTGGGCAGGCTGTGAGATCAGATTTCAGTCCTACCCCAGATCCTCCCTCTCCCCTCACTAGCCACCCTGGTTGCACTACTTCTTCACCCAAGCATCCCTCCCTCCCCGCACCCCCCTCTCCCCTGCAGGGCCTGGGGGCTAGCATCATTCCCCACCCTCTCACCCCCAGGTAGCCAGGGCCCAGGGTGAAGGGCGAGGGGGAGGGGGGAGGCAGCAGTGGTGGAGAGGAGGTGGAGGGAGGGGAGGAGGCCACCCTGCATGGTGATGAGAAAGGAGTGGAGCTGAAAAACTGCCCAGGGGTGTGCACAGTCCTTCACAGTTTACCAAGCACAGTCCCAGGATCCACCCGACAGCAGATGGTCAAGCTGGGCTTATTCCCACCCCACCTCCATTCTGAGGAGGAGGAAACTGAGGCCCGGGTCAGGGAACTGACATGCACTAGCTACCAGGTGGCATCTGATGCCGGATGCCATGGTCTTTCCACTGCAGCCCCCAGAGTTGAGAGGTGTTCAGGGAGGTGAATTGCCCAGAAGATAAGGCTTCCTATAGTGGGGACGGGGGTGTCTGTGGGGTGGGGGTGTCGTAGAGCCTCTTAGACACCTGCCTCCACCCTCCGTTCGGTTCCCAGGTCTTTGACTCCTGCCCCCAGGTTGCCCTTGCCGGCCCTCCCAGTCCCAGCTTGTACCCGGATGCCCTCCTCACTCTGCACTTTCCCAGGTGAGCTGGGGCCCTGCTTTCTCAATGCAAGCTGGGGGAGGGAGGTGAGGGGCAAGCCGGGGGAGGGAGGTAAGGGGCAGCCCGGGAGAGGAATCTGCTGGGAGACTGTGAGGCTAAAGGAGGGAGCTGGAGCCAGGAGTGAGAGGCATGGTCACTGCCCGCCCTGCAGGGCTTGTCTGGCACCTGGAATTCACTCACTTCCCTCTTCAGCGTCTCCTTCCAAGCCTCTCCCTCCATCGTGGCCCCTCCCAGCCGTTTATGGCTCAGCGGGTGATGCTCTTGGAATCCTAGAGAAATGGAGTTTTGAGTGTGGAATTTCTGGGGCGAAGCCAGGGGCCAGAAGGCACCCCGTGCTTGCTCCTTTCTGCAAAGGCCCTGAACATTGAGGTGAAGCCTCAGACACTGGGTGTCCACCCTGGCCTCACCATCAGCCTTGAGACCCTAAGCTGCCCACCTGTGTCTGTCTCCTCCTCTGTAAAGTAGATCTAAAGATGGCCCTCACACATGCTTGATGAGAAGAGGGACAGAGCTCTAGCCGGTTTGGCTCAGTGGGTAGAGTCTCAGTCCTCGGACTGAAGGGTCTCGGGTTTGATTTCTGTCAGGGACACGTACCTCGATTGCAGGCTCGATCCCTGGCCCAGTCGTAGGAGGCAACCAATCAATGTGTCTCTCTCACATCGATGTTTCTCTCTCTCTGTTTCTCCTCTTCTGTTCTACTTTCTCTAAAAATCAATGGAAAAAATATCCTCGGGTGAGGACGAACTAAAAAGAAGAAGGAGAAGGAGGAGAGGGAGAAGAGGAAGAAGAGAGGAAAAAAGAGGGGCAGTTGTGACAAATGCACTCACAGATCAGGGCTGAGACTCATGTTTGTTGGGAGACAGAGCGGGGAAAATTTCACTCTCTCCTTCCTCTTAGTGGGTGGGCACAGCCTGTGTCTTCTGGAAGACTGAAAGAAAGCAGTCACTTAATCTGGGCTCCGGTGAATTCTTTTTGTTATTCTCCAGGCCACTCGGGAGGCAGGGAAAGGGTAAGGTTGGGAGGAGGGGTGCAGGATGGCCACTGTAGGTAAGTAATGAAGGACAAAGAGAGCTAACCAGGAGGGTTTCCCCACACGCCTGGCCCCATCCAGCTCTTGCCCTAACTTTATTGGTCAGCTGTTCACACCCATTTCACTAATGGTGAAACTAGGGCTGAGGATTTAGGCATGCTGCCCCACTGTCCAAGGTCACACAGGAAGTGGGAAGCCAGTATCTGACTTCAGGGCCTTCTGCTAAAAACCCCAGGATCCTGGGACTTGGGTTCCAGACCCAGCGTGCAGTGTAGCCTTGGCCAAGTCACCTAATCTCTCGAGAGACTGCTTAGTTTTCTCTCCCCTTCAGGTGGGGATAATGTTCCCCTGTCTTCTCGGGGTTATTGTGAAAAAAACAGAGGGCGAATGAGCACAAACCGTAAGGTCCTCAACTGATACCAGGCACAAGCTCCTCAACAAAGGAACCTCCTCCTCTCTGCTCTTCCTGAGCTCCTGGCTCCTGAGGTATCCATGTGCCCCAACAAGGCACACAAAGGACCTTCCAGGTCTCTGGGAAGGGACTGACCGACCACTTGGCACCACCTAGTGGCCCATGGTGTGTGGTGCTTGGCCAGGGTGCTCTGAGATTGAGGGTTTGAGCATGACCATTGGCCCTGTGGGGGTGGGCAGAATATGCCGGCCCCTCAGAAAGGATGAGGTCATGCCTAGCTAAGCCCTCCCCTGGCCACTCCCCTGCGGATACATGACGGTGGGCACTCCACCAGTCCCCATCTCAGCCCACATCTCACTGGCAAGGGAGGCTAAGGGTTGTCTTCCAGCTCTGCCAGTGCCTCACTCCCAGGACTCAGCCGCCTCCCCTGCAGAACTGGAGTAACCATCCCTGCCTCTCATCCCTGCCTGGAACGGTGGTGTGTTCTTTCCTGTATCAACCATTTTATGAAGTGTCTCCTTTCTAACGTCATCATGCTGAGAGCTGTGGGGATACAAGGGCTGCTAAGCCACGTTTCTTGCTACCAAGGCACCTGCCTTATTCTAGACCAGTGGTTCTCAACCTAGGCTGCACATTAGAATCACCTGGGAATCTTTTTAAAATCCTGATTTCTGGGCCCCATCCTCCAGAAATTCTGTTTCTTTGTTATGGGGTGGGGCCACAACATTAGTAACAAAGAAACAGAATTTCCGGAGGATGAGGCCCAGAAATCAGGATTTTAAGAAGATTCCCAGGTGGTTCTAATGTGCAGCCAAGGTGGAGAACCACGGTTCTAGGGGAAGACAGACTTGTAAGTTGATCATTGCCCTCAAGGCAGATCACAGCTGCTCGGAGGAGGAGAGCACTGCACAATGAGGACGGGACTTGCTGGTGCCCAGGCTGGCTCGTGAGGAGGCCATCTTTCAGCAGAGCAGGTCCGTATGGAACCAGGGAAAGCTGAAGCCAGTGCCTGGGCGAGGGGAAAGGGCTGGCAGGGTGAGGGGTGCTTTGGCACTGTGTGTCGAGGATGGGGTCAGAGAGGAGAATCCCAGGAGAGGACCCACAGGCATCCTCAACAGCCCAGCTCTGGGGATGATGTAAGATCCATCTCCCAGCAGAAGTCCTGGTACCTCCTGCACCTTCAGCTCCTGCCAGAGGCTGCAGGACCTGCATGGGAGACCAAGCCCAGCCAGCCACACACCTGCCTCTAGGTCTGGACTGAGTGATGCGAGCAGGCAGAAGAGTTCAGGACTCCTTCCCCTGGTGGCTGTGAAGGGCGCCCAGGGGTGGCCAGAGGTCCTCCTGGCCAGCTGCTCCCAGCTCCACTCCTGCCAGTGGTTCTAGCCTCCCTGGTTCCCACTGTTCCCAAGCCTGGGTTTCTGGGCTCCTCATATCACTTCTTCGAGCTAGTCTTCTGTTCCATCACCTTCCTTTCCTGCTTAAGTTATCCCCAGTCTGTTTCTCCTGTTTCCATTCACGAACCGGCAACCTCCTAGTGCATGGGAAGATGCTCAACCAACTGAGCGACACCAGCCAGGGCAGGGTGTGCCTCCTTAAAGAGAGCCGAGGAACCCACAGTCCTACATAATTCAC